TCCAGGAACGCATTGGGTAGCTTACTGGAAAAACGATAATGAGATTGATTACTTCGATAGCTTTGGAAACATACAGCCTCCTAAGCAAATAATAAAGTATTTAGGAAAAAACATTAAATATAACTGTAATAAACAGCAAAGCTATAATTCATATAATTGCGGACATTTATGTTTAAAATTCTTATTATCAAAATAAATAAGTAAATATAAAACCTCCTTTTATTTCAAATTCAATTTTATTTGTTCTCATCATCAACATCAACAGACCTTTCCATTCATATACATGTATATATACACATACATATAAAATACTTAAAAATTACCTATGTGAGCATGTTAACACACTTTTCTAGCGGTAGAGCATCTATATTTCTGATGCATATTTCTAACTACATACCAACACACTTTTCTAGGGGTGGAGCATCTATATATGTATATACATATGTATGGATGTATGTTTGCATATAGATGTATGTATGAGAATACGTATGGATATATGTATACCAATACACCTCACCAATTTTCGTCAAATAAACCACCTTGTATCGGATTTCTTGGATTTCCATCAGCGGAATACCCCGTGATCGGTTCCGGTTCCGGACTCAGATTTGTCACCAGCAACATCTTGCGGCTTTTATCTGGGTTCTGAACGTGGATTATCGGCGACATCTTGCGGCGGAGCAGCAAAGCTTGCGGCAGAGCACCAGCAAACCGTATAGCGGTTCTGCACCGGAGCAACAGCATACCATATGCCTAGGCATAAATATACTACTCCGGTACAATGGAGAAGAAATTGTAAATGGTCTGTGGAGAAAAGATGTTTCAACCCCGTTACGAAATCATGGTCGCACGGCTTGCAATAATGCAGCAAGAAGTGCATTTGCTTTAAGGGACCAATTAAAGGACTACATAGTGTCCAACCCAATTTGATTTAGTTTCTTTGTGTTGCAAGGTATAAGCTTTAGAATTTAAAAAATGAAATACTATGTAAAAGTTACTAGAGACCTGTTAATTCTTAATACTTAAATATATCGTTGCCTTGATAGAAAAAGGGCCTATCTAAAATCGTCGCTGAAACGAAAAAAGCCTAAGTAGTTTAAGCTTTTTTTGAGTAAAACAATGTAATGCATTATAATCAATTAAAAAGTGAATTTGGGATATCAGCGACGATGTTAGATCCGGCCCATCTCATATTAAGGTAAATAATTTATAGTTAATTACCAACTACATACATGTGTTCACTTGTGTTTTATGTCCACACAAACATACATTCGTACTTAATTAACAACTATATACCGACTGCTGAGTGGAAGATCGACCTATCTCGGCAGCCAGTTCGAAAACGCCCTATCTCAAAAAAACTTTTCAAGAACGCCCTACTTCAGAATTTGGCTGAAGAACGCCCTATTTCAGAATTCATTTCAAAAACGCCCTATCTCACTTCAAAATGTAGGGCGTTTTCGAACTGGCTGCCGAGATAGGTCGATCTTCCACTCAGCAGACGATACAGTATCGGCCACTGTACAAGTGTACAAGTAGCGCCACTGTACAAATATACTTGCATTTCAATGTATATGTTATTTACACACCTGGTATAGCTACTATACTACGCATAAGTTTTTAAATAAAAAAGATACACTTTAAAATGTATAATTCAGTCCATTTTCTCATTTATTAGGTACATGTTGAGGTACATATTGGGATTAATTATTTACATGTTTGTATATGTATATATTTCCTTATACAATATATGTGTATATATGTATGCATTTGTGTGTGTGCAATACGTTAAAGTAGCCTAAGCCAACAAAACTGAAAGTTCATATTACATTTAACCATTTATTGCAGGTGCATACCTGTATCTTATCCCAGTGATTAGTATGCACTTTTAGTATTGAGATTATCAATATTAAATGCTCGTTTCAAACTGGGAAAAGATACAGGTATGTACTTGGAATATACTTAGAAGTAATATGAACTATCGACTTGAAACTTACACTTTACTAAAAAGTTTACTTAAAAGTTAATAATGTTTTTCATGTTAATTTTTTCTCGTTAACTTTTTATAAAATAATGATCATACCGCAACAAAAACGACAAGAAGCTGAGTTTCAAACTTTGTATAAAACTAAGAATTTCCAGTCGTAGTGTGAAATTATTTTTTATAAAAAGTTGACAAAGAAAATTAACATGAAAAACATTATGAACGTTTAAGAAGGTGTATATATGTGTACATATACATACATATCGATGGTCCTCTGCAATAACGACACAAAAAATAAAAAGGCGTTGCTACAGCTAAGTGGCTCTTGTCTCTTGTCCATTTGCAATCCTTACTAAGGTAAGCAGTAAGGATTTCTAAAGTAAGTACATGGATTCGACATGGATTTGAGTCATGAGCCACTTAACATTAGTAAGGACCATCGATATGTCAAGATATACTAAAATTAAACATAATTCATAAAAAAATTAATTAAATTAGGAAAAAATTATCAGTTTTAGTTTGCATTATATGCATGCGTTAGCAATTCAATTTTTAGCCGTTCACGCACGTGATCGGGCTTTTTCTTCAGGCACTCGTCTAGCATTTGCAGGAAGGCGCTGTTATCAGAATCGGTGTAGCGGGCTTTGCTCGCAATTACGGCCTCAATACTGCCACACAGACGATCAAATCGTTCGTGCGATTCTTTTACCCGCTTGCGCTTCCTTCCTGCTGGAGTGATTGCACCGGTAATGGGCGCCTCTTCCACAAACTCGACCATTTCCTCTATCATTTCGCCACTTTTGCTGTGTGGTATTTGTGGGGAGTTGCTGCATGAGGGTTGATCATCGTCAAAATCCAAGTTTGAGATTGTTCTGTAAAGAAAATAATAATAAAGCATATAGTAATGTAAATTTGTATGCCTATGTATTTACACTGGTCAAAAATAATTAATGCATAAATTGTTTGTTCACTAGTGTAACATATCATAAGCATTCATATTTACAAACTTCTTATATTGTATTATTAAAACAATATACATTTACATACATATGCATGTATTGCATGTCTCTAATCCTTGTCTACTCCTTAAAAAATTATGGATTACTGAAGTAAGTGATAGGGATTAGAATCATGAGCCACTTAAAAGTATGTAGTAAGGGTTTTTATTTTTTGAATTCTGTCGATATTGCCGGGTATCATCAGTATGTATTTCTGAGTAATTTACCTTCTAGGACCTATGTGCTTTGTTAGGAAGCGCATGTCATGATTGTTCTATTTGCTGGATTATACAGTCTATAACCCTTCGTCAAATCAGCATATCCCACAAAAATCACCTTTGTACCTTTTGGTTGAAATTTTGACCTATCTGTTTGCTTATTTAGTGCTACAGCATCACAACCAAAAATCTTGAAATACGACACGGACGGCTTTCTTCCTACCCCGCGTTGATAAGGTGTGCTATCTTTTATTAATTTAGTAGGAGGTCGATTTCTAATAAAAGTGGCAGTATTTATCGCTTCGGTCCATAAACTTTGTAAAACTTTTGATGCTTCTAAAATACAGCGCGACATTTCCACTAGAGTACGATTTACTCTCTCAGATACACCATGTGATGTATAACAAACTGTGGTTTCATGCCGGATTCCCTGCTGCCTAAACAAATTTTCGAATTGTGCATTTATATACTCGCGACAATTGTCGCTCCGTACAGATTTCAGTTTACGGCCCGGTTGCTTTTCAGCCTCATTCTTAAAATTCTTAAATGCTTCAAATGCTTCCGATTTTTCTTTTAAAACCGAATTACAATAAACCTTGAATAGTCGTCTATAAAGGTAATGAAATAACGCGACCCACTTTGAGGCGCTATTTTCATTGGGCCACAAATGTCAGTACGTACTAACTGAAGAACATCGGTTGAGTAAATGCATGACAGCATGGCTTTTTAGTAATTTTACACATTGCGCACGTAGTACAACTAAAATCTTCAGGCAATATCACTTCTAGTCCGTTAACAATATTTTTCTTTGATAAATCGCAAATGTCTTTAACATTTAAATGTCCAAACCTCATGCCAAATTTCAATGTCAGATTTTTTTATTATTCACCATCGCATTCAACCTTTCGTTCTCATCAAATCGCACATAAAAAACACCACTGTCTACTTGTGATTTCGCCGTAGACTTATTTTTATCAAATTGTACGAAATAACCACGCTCAATTATTTTGCTTACTGAGAGAAAAGGCCCACGTAAGCTTGACACATATAGTACATCTTTCAACACAATGGCGCGTTTTCATAGTCCAGCAACTAAGTCGAAACTAACAAAGTTGCAACTTAAATTTAAGTACCAACTTAAAATTTACCTCTATTCATAGTCGCATTTCAGACTTCTACTAAGTAGTTTCGACTTAGTTTACGATATAGCAAAACGAGTGTGAAAATGTATCGATTTTTCTTTACGATATTTTGGAAAAATTACATTTTTATTAAATAATGTCAAGTTTGATCATCCGTTTATGTAATTTTTATTTTCATTGCATGATTATGCAAAAGAATAAGGTATCATTTTCTTGTTAATTGTGTGAAATAGCCAGAACAACCGCAGTGATGTGAAGTCGATGTTTATCGAAAGCATGCTGTGAAACATACAAATAGTAGATATCTAAATGTTATGCACAAATTTACTTTAAAAGAACTAGCGTGAAACTGACTTATTATTTGAAAATTTATCTAAATTATTCCAATTATAAAATTGTGATGTAGCTTTATTCGAATTGTAATACGCATTTAATTTCATCTTCCGATTAAAATGGATCGATCTTTGTAAATTTTAATTGGAGATTATTCAATATTATCAAAATCACCCTCTACCAACTTAATTTTTACATATTTCGTCTGTTTTCCCTTAATTTGATAAAATACTTCTTCCTAGTTACGACTTAGTTGCAGCTGCAGCCGAAACTAAATTTTAAGTTGGTACTTAGCCAGAAAAGTCGAAACTAAGGCGACTATGAATAGCTTTAGTTGTGACTTAGAATAGTTTCGACTTAGTTGAGTACTAAATATGACTATGAATATGCGCCAATGTCACGAGTATTAAATTTTACTTTAATAGTACCCATCGCTTTAGCAACAAAAAAATCGCCGGACGCAAGAGTCACTAATTGTTCGCTGTTTTCAATTGCTGAAAAAAGTTTTTTATATAACTGCACATTCGTGAAGAAGCGCCACTGTCTAAAATCTACGTGTTATTACTTGCAATTTTTTCGGAAGAATCCATGCACAAAACTAACTCTTTTTTAGCCGTATTACACTGTGACTTAATCAGCCCTANTCGTGTTATTACTTGCAAAACTAACTCTTTTTTAGCCGTATTACACTGTGACTTAATCAGCCCTATTCTGCATTTCGACTCGAATCGAAATTTTCCGTTTCCTTTTGATCAATCTTCGAAATTTACGATTATACCTATTCTACATTTCGATCGGAGTTCCGTATTTCTAAGTTGCAAATTTGTTGACGGAGAACGTTTCGCTTGTTATTTTCGTGGATTTAAATAATAAGATTTTATAAAAAAATTAAGTAAAATTTACTGTGCATGATTGTAAAAGTCATCATAAATGAATTTTCTCGATTTCTGTGTTTTCACGAGCGGTTATACGGGCAATACGAAAAATTGGCTCAAATAATGGCAGCCAAAAGGGATATTGCGCGAGGTTTTCAAAGAGTAAGTCCAGGCGTTTTTGTTTTCATTATCTATAAATAAGAGCCAATTTACACGAAGACTATTCACCCTGCGTTTTTTGCACGTTCCCTTTTAAAAAAGTCTTCGAACATCCTCGTGCATTTACACGATGACTTTTTCTTTGCGGCGTTTCTTGCGTTTTTTTGACATTTCAACGTCAAATTTTCTTTGGTCAACTCTTTCGTCCTCATTTTTAAAGCAGAGCGAATCGCGAACTCAAAGTAAAACTACAAAAAAGTGAGCTCGATAAAAGCGAAACGTCAAAAAAACCCCCTCGATCTCGCTCACCATGCGTGCTTGCCTACCCTGCTGACTTCCCTACACTTCTTGCCTACAAGCTCGACACGCACTCACCCAGGGTGAAAAGTCATCGTGTAAATTGGCTGTAAGACTGCGAAATGCACTGAATACAATTTATTCTTTTTATATAAAATTAATAGATTGATCTATTATTTTTTATTGCCCAAATAATATACATAAGAACGATTATAAGAAATGTAAACATAACAAAACTGTCAAAGCTAAACTTCAAAATGGAGGGGATTGCCAGATGAATGTACGTAACCAATAGTTATTCAAGACACGAACCATCATATCGGTATAGACACGAATTGACATGGCCACTATGAAAACGCCCACACTGAGATACGATAAAAGAATAGTTGGTCACATATCACGAGGCTAGAAAAATAGATTTCCTTTTTGGAATTGGACACGGAGCGAACCACACTCATCAGCCCTCGCAAGAACGGAATTACAACCAAGTAATTAAAGTGGATAAAAAACTTGTATTAAAAGCTGGCGACATTCGGGGAGTCGATACTCACCCCTCAGTGGAAATTAATTGAGGCAAAAGGTGCCATGTTGTTGCGTAGAATAAAGAAGTTGTGAGCATGAAATCTGGACTATTCATTTGACAGCAATTGAGTCACCATAAGCCGTTAATAAAAAATCATTACACGTAAGTCAGCCACTTTCTTGCCACCATCCATTGGAAACGAGCTATCCATCAACCGTAAATAAATATTCCTGTTTGGACCGACAAACCAAGGTCAAGCAAATCATTGGCGCCCAACTAAACGGGTGAAAAAGAATAAGTTTTTGTTGAACATAACCACACTTAAGCCCGGCATAAAATAACCGCGTGCTCTGCTGAGGGAATATAGCAATTTCATCATCGAATCAATTTAATACATCATAAAATTAGATTTAAGGAAAAATTAAAATCTTATAGTCGTTTTTCTCATTTTGTTGGTCACAAAATTGTACGTCGGTGAACCAAACATATTCGAGTTCAATAGGTTTTTGATAAATTTTTTCTTTTAGAAATTTCGCTATTATAAATCATCATTGAGATTGAATCAAATAATTATCTTTTGAATTCATAATCACTGTAAATCAATATCGTCCTCAGTCTTCACACGGCATGATTTAATTGATTTTTATTGGAGCTCGTTTTCAATCAAAATTTTTGTGGATATTTTGATTATTTAATTCCGCGGGGGTGAATGGTGATCGATCTGCGATGCGAACACCATTGATCAGCAGTCATAACCATTCTCGTTCAGTTCAGNATCAGCAGTAATAACCATTCTCGTTCAGTTCAGTTCGCCAATTCTGAAAAGCAAGTTGATTGAATTTTTTAATCAAGTAACACCACACTCGACGGTCAAAACTTTTGAACCGATCATTTTTCTTTTCGTCTTTCGGTATAAGTTCAAGCAACGTAACCGATAACACGGTCAATATTAAGTGAACCAAACTATTAATTTTTCTTTATTTTTGTAATTTCTTTGGGTATTCATTCCCAATAAAATTTGAAACTCGTATCAAAGTAATCTCGTTTAACATTCTCAAACTGGTTGAATATTCTCAGTCTGATTTGGTCTTCCGGTAAATTCGGGGGTGGATAGTCTTGATCTTTGTTGCGTACCTTGTTGGCGACAGAAGGGACCGAAGGAGATACAGGTAATACTCCCAAGTATTCAAGGCCTTCGCTGCATCCCGGGAGCAAACAATTTGGTCCATAAAAAGATTCGAGCTCGTGTGTTAAACGCCATTCTCAGCCCACGTTCGGTATAATACTAAAAAAGATTTTGGACCGAAAATCACATGAGATATACAACCAATCATAGAATAATAATAATAATAAATTGAAGTAAATGCGGTGTTGATATTAAATCGAGTACCGCCATCTTATAACCCAGACCATAATAGTACGGACCTTACGTCTACCGTTGGTAGAATTTTTTTAATAATCTGAATTTATAACTTGGTATTTGAGTCTTTGAACATGGAATAATTTCCCATCCTCGATGCAACTTATTTGAGAGACGAACAGCGACAGATCGAAGGGGAGATATATAACCTATATCCAGCGCCTGTTCAATGGACCGACACCGAAATAGCCGCCCTCAATGGTAAAATATCTGCTTACGTTGGCCAACCAGGGTTGATAAAATCCCATGCCATACACCAAATGAATGAGTTGGAAATATGTGAGAGAGCATATCGGGAACTGAAGGCGAATGAGGTGTTAACACCTCAGGGTCGTCTTCATCAAATGATACATTATTGTTATCGAACCGCTCGGTTGAAGTTAAAACCCGAGTCGGCGTCACGCCAGGCAGATCTGATCGGAAAATTTCAGTCGAAGATTCGTGAGCTTCGGATGTCTTCACCGAATACGGGAATCCCGACGTGCGATCCCCAATTAAGTTTGAACTCGACCTTCCATGGTTTTGAGAATGAACGGGGAACGATGAGTTCAACTCAAAATAATGTTCCATCATAAAAATAATGTTCCATGTTTACCCTTGCCCATACCAGATTCGAATCCAAACCACAATATACCGACTTCGGTTCGGGCAACTGAATCACGGTATACCCTGACCACCAGTACGGTTAATGCAAATGTTCAACCAGCCGTTCTCAATTCAGTGTCAGGCGGAACGGAACCAAAACCCTCATTACACCAACTGTCTGTAATGGTGTCTGAGTTGCTGAGAGCCCAAACACAGATGCAACAGCAAATGATCCGTGATCGGATTCAGTTGCAGACACAAATTCCTGACGTTCGTGATATGAACCAAACCATGCCAACGACCTGGAATCATACCTGGATACCACCCTCGGTGGATCCTCCCCATGGTTCTTTGGGTGGTCCTGCAACCTTACAAACTCAAACGATCAATACCTACCGTGGTGTTAGTACGTCTCATATCCAAGAACCAATTAATCAACCATCTCATTTATATCCGAATTATTCGCTATCCGGTCCACCGCAATCACGACCAAATCAAGCCACTNATTTCTATCGGTTGAAGATTATTTGGCTATTATTGGCTCATTTCGATATAAGATTGGAGTACTCGACCATGAATTGGTAACGCGTTTGGTACCCACACTCACGGGGGCCGCTCGGCAATGGTACTTCATCGAACTGAGAAACTTCGGAGATTATTAAGATTTTTGCACGAAACTTCGTGCTCGTTTCCTCAACAAACATATGCACAGACTACATTCGATCCACGTTCGCAAACACTGCTGAA